TACTGAGAGACTGTAAATGAATACGGAATCGGAAGAAAAGCAACGGCATGAGAAAGCTATGTGAATGTTAAATCAAACAGCGTTGAAAGTGGAAAATGGAAGTTTGTATTACAAACTTATGTTTGGGGCCAGTAGGTAACTTTTTGTTCTGTTCAATCTATTCTTCCTCAATCGTTGATTCAAGGTTGTAATCTTCTTTTTAAAAATAAAAATTATATCACCCCTGTTCCAATTTTGGGGTTATTATGCGCGGTGTTGCATCTTTTAGAAGCTGCACATCTGGCCACTCTCGCAAAACAATTTCTTTCATCATTACTTTGGAACATTTTACTGTATGGACACAAAAAAGGAATTAAAGAAAAATACAGAGAATTGAGAAGCTATCTAATTAATAAGCATATAATACTGTATTAATTGGCAAGTAAAATGTAAAGTTTCCAGGCCCATATATCATCCAGTGGGTGGGGTGGTGCAATGGGTGCATACGCACCCAACCAAATTTGATAAGGTCCACATTTCGATGACAGTCGAGAATGTACTGAATATAAATTTGTGATTTTCTGTGATTTAAAAATATAATCTTAAATTTTTACATTTTAACCAGTAATCTACTCTGTCTGTCGTGATTTAGAAAAATGCAATTTATCCATTTTTGAGATTTTTGAAATTTTGGCTTAGGGGCTACCTGTGGATGTAATCTATCATGTGAAATGATCATATACTCCAAACAATTTTTAGAAATATGAAATTATTATGAGAGTTATGCATTATATCCATCTGTGCGATAGGCAGGGTACTTTTTTTTTTATTAATTGATTCATTTATTCGATCAATAATCAACATCTGTACAGACATACAACTCAAATAGGAACAAGGACAAAAATTGAGATTTTGAAAATGGTGAATAAAAAAATGATTAAGAGAACAAGATTGAAACAATGATAATAATAGTAATTATTAAGATAATTACAATTAAAGCTTCCAAAGTATTTCTTAAAAAATTCATGGGTATACGCGTCAACTTATTTTGAGAATAATAATAATAATAATAATAATAATAATAAAAATAATAATAATAATAATAATAATAATAATAATCGTGTACATAAATGCACCAGTATCCATCAAAGCGCAAAACAGAAGTCAAGAGAGTTATTAACAGTTAAAATTTTGACTACGAATAAAAAAAAAATAAGTAGGCCTATAAAATTGTAGGTGGAAGCTCACATCGTTGCTGATGATAGTGGCATTATGTTGCTTTTGAATCTTCCTACGAACTACTCTTTTTTAACAACTATTGCTATACAAATTCAAATATCGTATATTTTCATAAATTAGTAAAATTATTATTAAAGGTTTTTGTGAGAGATGTTTATTGTATGTATTATTAATATTGTAACATAACATCAATGTAAGATAAAATCTTAATGTAAATACAATTTGGAATGTTATCGCTATAGCAATGAATGAAAATCACTAGAATTGCTGTTTTTTTTTGCTTTACTTGAGCAAAAAATCATGAGTAATACAATTTTTTTTAAATAACATGGTCTTTAATGAAAAAATGTTGAACACAACTTTGGTGTTAAAAATAGGTAAATATTTATTAATATCATAGGAAAAATTAATGAATAATAAATCTCAAATTTAATTTCATATATTGCAGCACAATATGGATTTTAATTTCCATATAAAATCAGCTTGAAAATTTATGAAGCAGTGGTGTATAAAACAAAACTTCAATAATATAAGTATAACTATATTTTATATTGTGAACCTGCCTGTGGTAGTTGAGATTGGCAGTGTCAGAATTAAACGTGTTACTTGTATCCAATTTTTTGGTATTCTTGTTATCAATGATCTCTTTACAAGATGCTTTCTTACAGTGCGGGAATTACTACTACTATGTGGTAAAAGACTGGAAAATAATGAAAATTGTTTTGAAGAATTAAATCTGCTGCACCTTGCCCAGATTTAGTTAGATCAGAATTAAGCGGCGCAATTGTCTGCGTGTATTATCTTTTTCAAACGGCTTACCAAAACAAACAAAGCCAGGCTTGCTAGTACAGAAGGCTAAGTAAGAGGATTAGGAACTCTAATGAATTTTTTTTTTGCATAAAAATAGACGAGAATGTAATGCTATCACACCAAGGCATTACGTCTGACACATACCGTAATCCTCTTCAGTATTGCTGTTTAATCCTATAGTAAGTAGTACAATAACAATGTCATTACTTAAGTTAACTATATTGTGACCTAAAGTTTATTAATACCTAAAATTATAACATATATTTGATATTCAGGATGTAGACTTTTTAGTAGTTGCATCTTTTTTGCAAATATCCAGTGCAGTAACATATATATGATTATAGTAATAGTAATAATATTAATGAAAGTGTAAATAAATAATGATGATAATAATTATGAGAATGATGATGGCGAGGAGGACACCAACAGTGTTTAATTATTGTAATTGTTCACCCACTGTACTCTAATTTCAAAGATAATCATTCTGGTATCTTGATATGTGCCCACACTCTTCAGAATGTCCCCTCTTTTGTTCCTAATGGCAATCATATGTACAACTTGGTTGTTAAAGGATATTAGATACCTTGCTTGTTGATTTAACCTACGGTATGGTGGAACAAAGTTAATGTGTTTCACAGTAAACACCCAAGACTGAAATAATTGGACATGCTGGTTGATGGTATGTCACATGAGAATATGAAAGTACACCAGCCTTTACTGCCATACCATTTGCTGTAATTCAAAAGTGTATAAAGGTTGTGGGGTCAGACTACCAAGTAACTTACTAAGTCAGTTAAAGGCTGACTAAAGAAAAACATCTCTGCCTTAATAGTTGATCTCAGCATGGAGGTATAAAATATTTTTATACCTCCATGATCTCAGTGTATCTTAAAAGAAATTGCTAACAATAATGTTTCATAGGCAAATCTATTCTATTGTATGTATGTCTTCCTGATAAATGCAACATAACTAGTAACAGAAATTACATGTTATAATTCATGCCTATTCTGTTGTTTCCATGAAGGGGAATTCAGAAGTTATACCTTTGTCATACATTATTTTCATGTTCTTTAGTTACATAAAAGATATACAGTGATGAATTAATATTGACACATGGTTTTATTTGAACACTATATTATGAATAAAAACACTAAACTCATGGCTTTATTCATAGGCCTATACCCTACTGTTGTACATTGTAGGCCTAGGTAATGTTGTTTGTTCATAACATACGTTTAATAGTGTTACCAAAGAGTATATAATTGTATACCCAAGGCAATTTCAACAGAAGGACGCACATCTCGGGACATCAAAGGTTATAACTCTTGCATCGACATTCTAGGCGCATATGCGTCCCTACACGCTGAACGTCACAAAAACCATAGCAACCAGACCATAAACCGTCAGCGAACGTGACGAATTACCCACGCGCGTGTTAGTTGCCATGATAATCGCGCGTCATGCGGTGATTACAAAAGCCTAATGATATTTTGCACTAACATTAGACTGAAATTATAGTCTTCATTTCAACATTAAATTTACCAAAATTGTGGTGTATTGTCGTTCATGAGACTAATCAATGTTCTGTATCTACTCAAATGTTCATTTTGTGCACCTTAGTCCAACATTGTCAAAATGACATTTTAATGTTACATAGAACATGAAATTTTATAAAATTCGTAAATTTTCAATTTGCTTTAACTTTTCGTTTTCTTGGTCAATTTTCACGAATCAAATTGCAGTTTATAGAAGCATTTAACAAGCTTGTGGTCAAAAGAAATCAGATGTAACAGACATTGCGAAGTACCCAAAATTAATAAAAGTACCCAAAATTAATAAAAACTAACACCATAAAACGAATGGCACGCATAGACTAATAATTGACGGCTGTACTCGCAACTAGTATCGGATTGTTGATGCCACAGTAAAGATCAAAGGATGTATGCAGGCGCTATGTTCGAGAGCAGAGATGTGCGTCCTTCTGTTAAATTACCTTGATATACCATTTGTTGGTGTTACATACATATTATGTCAAAGTTCACTACAAATTTAACTCAACCTTGATTTTACGAATCCCCAGATTTATGTACGTCCTCCGTTCCAATACCGCACATAAAATCGAGGTTGTACTGTAGATTTTTTTAATTATTTATGTGTAGTTTAGGTTTTATTGTACAGTATACTGTTTCTGCCAGTGGGAAAATAATTTCCATTAACACTTGCCACCTGGACAGTAAAGTATCTTGTATCTCTATCAAATTTTAAATTCAAAATTTTTCAATAAGGAGGAGAATATAAAATTAAATTTGTATCTGAAAATAAAAATATATAAATTTGTATCTGAAAATAAAATATAACAAATATGAAACAGCAAAAATTTCAATAAAATAGACATAATACAGTGTATACACAATAGACAGAATAAAAAGTTTCTCCGATCTCTAGAATTCATAAGTAAATTCGAATCAAAATTGAAATTATTTCAATTCAATTTTGATTTCATTACCTTCACACAATCTCAAAAAGCACAATAAATATGAACACCAAAAAACGTCAAAAAAAAAAAACAATGTGTTACATAATCAACTAAAGTGTTTTGAAAAGTCACCATTGGAATTTACCTCATTAAAATATAATATGCGGATTCAAATACTGTACACCTATAGTGGTTGCAGTACCTTAAATGGATGGAGGCGAGGCCGCCGTGGTAGCAAGGCTGTTAGCAAAAGTTTAAAAACCTACCAAGTCCTAAATCTTCCCCTCATTTGAACCCACCATATGTTTTACACCAGGATCCTGATGCCCTGATTTGTGCCCTCAGTTGGATTTGGTAAATTACTGTTGGCAAAATTCTGAAGCTACCACTGGTTGCTTTAATTTAATTTATTTCTTCTTGTCACCACTGTGTTGTCATTAATATAATGTGTTCGTGCACTTTCTTTTTTATTGTCATTTTTTGTTTTTTGATGTAGGAGCACCCATGACGCAGTATCTCTGAATAGTCATCTGTATGTGATTGGTGGAAATGACGGTAGTAGTAGTCTGAATAGCGTTGAGCGGTATAATCCGCTGACAAGACGCTGGAAAGTCCTATCGAGCATGAGCTCAAGAAGAAGTAGTGTCGGAGTGACAGCAGCAGAGATTTTACCAGCTTCAGAAAACAAAGTTGATTAAAAAAGTTGCAATATGTTATATTATGCCAAGAGGAATTTAATGCCCAAGTGCAAATTGCATAAAACATACCTGAAATTTTAAAGTGATGACTATATACAGTAAATGCATTACTCTTTATTGTAGTTATCATTTGTAATTATTATTTATTTTAATTGTTGAAGTCATTGTGGTATGTGATTCATTAAGATTCACTAATATGAAAACTGTTCTCAGGATATCTAAATGTTCAGTAGTGAAATACAGTAATAGCAGATATTGATATAGCGCCAATTGAAAATTTATCAAGGTTCTAATTGAGAAAATTAAGGCCAGTTAATAAGATTCCTGAAATAATAGGTTGATGAAAACTAAGCTACTTAAAAGTCAGTCTGGTAAAAGTAACTTAAAATTGTAACATTGTTTATTAGCTCATCAGAATGCAGACAAAATAAAAGAGCCATTACTGAGTGTGACAATCGTCTAGCTTGTTCAAATGATGAACCATTTCCTGGTGATTTTTCAAAGTAAAGTAAATCCTACGCCCAAGTAAAAGGAAATAATATGATATCTTCATCAAGGTAAATTTACGATTAATAACGTTGATTAATTGAAGAATAAACAATCAGAGACTCTTAAATTACTCTAAATGTAGGAACAAGACATCCATAACATTGGAAATGTGAAAGATTTTCTTACATGTTAATGAAAGTGTAAAGGTAAAGGGTTCGAAACCTGAAGCAGGCCGAGTGAAAGTGCATATATTAATGTAAACATTTAAAAGAATAGTAATAACACTCAACAAGCAGGAAGGCCACTTATTTGGGAAGGCGCTCTTTATATTGTTTGCAAATATCAATACTGTACATGCTAAAGGGGAATTTGTATTTTTGAACCATAGTATGTTGCTGCTCTCCTTATACACACATCACAAGAAAAGGCTTACATTTATACATAGAAAGAAGAATAGATTGTGTTTATCAAAAGCAAGTAGTTTCGAAGACCACTGTCTGCTCAAATACATCTTCGTCTGTCCATTCTTCAGTTTTATAATACTGATTATTTTGTTAATCTGCTTTATAGGGGTATATGTTATTTTCACAAGAGTACAAAACACATACTTTTTGCTGGCACCCCAGTACATGATTAAATGATGATTTTTTTTCCCCCAGTGTTTAGCGGTACAATGCTTATACTAGTAGTGTGCAGTAAATGATGAGGTATTTATGTAGCACAGCTCTCTGTACACTTTTTAAAATAGATTTGCTGATTTTTCTCATATTGTCCAATTAAATTAATTGCCTTAAATTTTTCATTCAGTTGTGACAGTTGTCAGTGGCGGCTCTAGGATATCATTTATGGGGGGGCTAAGGTGTCCGACTGGGGGCTAAGTATTTATGGGTGTAACTATAGCGCGCAGCGTTATCTGAGGGCTGAAGGCCGGAGCCGGGAGTGGGTGTGGGAGGGGAGTGTTCCCTCATCCCAAAACGAGATTTAAAAAAAAAAATTATGACTTCTAGGTGGCCGGAAAATGCTGGGATGGGTAAACTAGGCCTATTATTTATTTTCTTTTTTTTTGGGTCCGACTGCCTGACGAGCTTTGACCGAGAAGGCCCCCCCCCCCACTGGCACCGCCACTGTCAGTTGTGTGTGCGTTTTTTTTTTAATTTACCCTCTTTTTTCTATCTCTGGTATTCTTTCCCAATACAACATACTGTTTTAAAAACCTACTGCCATATAACACTATATTCTTAAATTGAAACAATCTCAAACATACTCTGCTACCAGAAGCTTTTAACATTCCAGAACTACAGTATACTGATTGCTTATTTTGGTTACCATGATAAAAGAACCTGATCCTGGCCTTTTAACCAGTGGTAGGTTTATCTTTTGACATAGCAAACTTGCATACAATTAGGTTGAAATTACTTTAAAATCGGAGCGAGGTTCCCTTTTTTTTTAAATAGAAAAAACCCACAAATCTTATCTGTACTTTATTTGCAGTAGCTGTTTTATGTAATGCTCTCGGAAAGTGTATGTTTGAAAAGTGTGTACAAATAAGAACAAAAAAAGAACATTTTGAACCTGAAATTGGCCAAAAAAAAAAATTTTACTGGTTCTTATAAATAAAAAAAAGTGTATAGGTATTTAAAACTACCAAAGCTTGACACTTTCTTTGTACACTCGCAGACACTGGTAACACACAGACCACAGGGGCGTAGGCTGGGGTGCGGCTCCACACCCCCCCCCCCAAAAAAAACGCAAAAGAGTTCCACTTGTGTAGGCCTAAGCCTAGGCCTGCATAGAAAGTAGAACTCTATTAGGCCAACAAAAGTACACATATAAACCCAGGGCCGTCGGAAGCGCACCTGCTATGGCCGGACCACTTTTTCTCAATTCCATTACTTTCTGAAATAAATATATAATGATAATTATGAATTATATGAATGTACGCATCGCATTGACTTTTTCAATCATGGTACGATGGACCTGAGATAGAGGGTACAGTATCT